CATGAAGGGTTTGGAACGACATTGGTAGGGGAGTTATGGGAGCTGGAGCTAGAGAAGAAATCTCTGGACGCATAGTACACTGGCTAAATGTGTTCCGGCTTTAGTTGATCCCTGCGTAAGGGATAATGAACTTGATTGCTGTCGCTATACTTCGCATGAAGGTAATCCAGCAATGTGATAAAGGAAAGGTGCTTTAGTGTACATCTCTGTCTTATTGCCTAGTCATACTGATCAGATCATAAGGCATCACAGCCTTGTGAGTCCCTCAACCGGCGCCGAAGCTTGGATCACATGGGAGCACTTAACAAGGAGTTTTACACAGGTAGAGCATGGAACAAAGCACCAAGATCCAGTAGATCGACTTTGATCTGATCATTCGTGCCGCAACCGCAATATGAGAACACTCGAGAGACTTCAGGCGCCACTGGCAAGCGTAACGCAAGAAACTACAGTAGCTCTTGACAATCTAACCCTTAACTCCTACTCGAATTTGAGCCACCGGCTGAATACCGCGAATCTGGGGTTACACGTATCACTCAGGCAAGAATTTGCTGCTCTCTGGCATGCTAAAGACCGGTTCGTCTGATATTGGCCAAGAGGACTTCTAAGGTGTCTTCGCAAGTCCTTCAGGCAATTCTCTCTACATTGCCGCTAGCAAACGTCTCCACAGTACTATGACCGTCTACTTTATCTGAGCATTCGCTGCTGTTGCCTACCTGATGAATTGTGTTAGCACTCCTGGATCCTGATTGATCACCATCCCCGAGAAACGAATACTTTTTCAGTGTGATGATGGCTCCGGTGAGGACCGGATGACCTGTCCAATTGTAAGGCTGGATACTATTGAAAAGAAGTGGCTATTCGATATTTCTTCCGGTTCGTCACCTGTGAAAGTTGGATGAGGTGAGGGTGGAGTAGAGCAACGGCGTTATCAGAGCGAAAACCACAGCACAGGTTCTTCTTGACAAATGCAAAGACACTCCACGATATCTCCGCACTTTCTCACCTATGCCGGACCCATTATTAGACTATCTCACATCTCTCTTAGCTGATTTGGCTTTTCTCGATTCCCCTCACGATCATTCGACTTGAATCCTGAACCTGACCCACCTGTCATCGCGGAGACCTTCTCGATTGGGAAATCTTGGTCGACTATCTATCTTATCCTTATCAAGCCTTCGCTCTCTACCTTCAACCCTCATGGTGTCTCCGTCTGTTGTGCTATCCGAAGGGGTGACTCCCATCCAAGGGAAGATGCAGGCTCGTGGAGGCGTTCGGGAGGGGGAGTTAAAGCTTAAAAGCCCGTCGCCTTCGGCAGGGTCATTTCATCTCGAACCCAACTTCTGAATCTTGCAAGAGAGAGGTATTCTGTGCCTACTGTCATCATGGTGGTCATTGAGGAGGATAACAAGCAAGTCTTTCAGCCGACAGCCGGAGAAGATGTTCGTCTTGAGAATCTTGGCTATGAACAAGGTGCGAACACTGTCCCAAGTGCATGACTATACTGACGTAGAGCAGAGCTCAAGCGGACCTTTGGTCTGTTGGGTATGATTGGTTTCAGCTTCAGCGTCGTCACATCGTACGCATTCTCCCTTTCTCTGTCTTATTGTGGAAATACATGCTGACTTATCAGATGGACTGCCTTGAGCGGCGTCTTTATTGTAGGAGTCACGTCGGGTGGCCCTCCGGTCATGGTATTCAGTTTCATCGGCGTCAGTCTTCTTACACTTGCAGTTGCGCTTCCCATGGCGGAGATGTGTTCCATGTACCCTGTCGCAGGGGGACAGTACTCGTGGGTGGCCGCTCTAGCTCCCCCAAAGATCGCACGCGGGCTGTCATACATAAGTGGATGGTTCATGCTTATAGGTATGTCGGTAGATTCTCAGTCATTAGATTCTTTGCTGCATACTTATTTGAGGCAGGAGTTCTTGCAATGGGTGCCACGAACAATTACATTGCAGCCAACTTTGTCCTTGGAATGGCCAATCTCATCTTTCCCGAATACACCATCGAAAGATGGCAGACTGTTCTTGTCGCGTACCTCGTTGCTTTCATAGCGGCCGCCATCAATATATGGGGCCCTCATCTACTCAACCGCATATCACGCTTCATCCTGGTCTGGAACGTGGGCTCCTTCCTCATCACCATGATTGTCCTCCTGGCCACAAACGACCACAAACAGCCCCCAGCGTTCGTTTTCTCCGAGTTTCAGAATTTCACCGGCTGGGGTCCAGCGATGGCCGCTATCGTCGGGATCCTCCAGTCCTGCTTTGGGATGTGCTGCTACGATGCACCCGCACACATGACCGAGGAGATGAAGTCCGCCTCGAAAGAAGCCCCCAAAGCCATCATTCTCTCCGTCGCACTTGGTGCAGTCACCGGCTTCGCCTTCCTCCTCACCCTCTGCTTCTGCATCGGCGACATTAACGAAACAGCCAGCACATCCACCGGCGTACCCGTCATTCAGATTTTCTACGATTCTACCGGCAGTAAAGTCGGTGCCTGCTTTCTGTCTAGCATGATCGCCGTCATTGTCATCGTGGCGGGCAACAATCTGCTCGCTGAGGGCTCACGCTCAGTCTACGCGTTCGCCCGCGACCACGGCCTGCCCTTCTCCAGGGTCTTTGCCAAAGTTGAGAGCAAGCGCCAAGTGCCCGTCAACGCTGTGCTGCTGACATTGGCCGTACAACTCGCTCTGGATGCAATTGATTTTGGCACCACGACTGGATTTGAAACTGTCATTGCGATCTCAACAGAGGGATTTTGTATGCCCCGATATACCCCGTCCTATTCTCAAAACCCTGCTGATCCTCTATAGATTTATCATACGCAATGGCCCTCTTCAGCCGTCTCCTCGGCTACGTCACTGGCCATCAGAAAGAAATGAAAGGACCTTTTGCTCTGCCGCCGTGGATCTCCATCACTCTCAATGTCCTGGGGCTTCTCTTCCTGCTCTTCGCATCCATTACTTTCAATTTCCCGACCTATTACCCCGTTGACAAGAACTCAATGAACTATACTTCTGCCGCGATTGGCGTGATTGCGCTGATTAGTCTGGTTACCTGGTTCACTACCGGTCAGAAACACTTCACTGGACCGGGAAATATGAGTGTTTTGCATGGACGGGAGGAGGTGGTTCGATCGGAGGCAGTGGTAGAGAAGAAGTAATCGCGATGCACATTGTATATATGTTGTATAGATATCAGAATCTACAGAAGCCAACACTTGGTGTTGACGGACGATGCCGACACTGATCAGTAGACACAGGCAGGTATGTCTGGTGGAAGCGAGCAATGAGTGAGCTACCTCCGCAGCCGCAAGAGTAGTCGTCTCCAGTCGTCTCGTATATATGGCACCTTGGCCAGCCCCAATCACCTCGAGGCCGCTAGTGCCGTCGTGGATTGAAAGCAGTTCATGCGTGGTACAGCCGCTAGCCGGGTTGGCAACGTGCATTGCTCTCTTGTACAGAGTACACTGCCAGGGGCTCTCCAATTAACCGACACTTATACGAGAAACTAATTTAGATGAGCTCCCTTGAAAGAAGCATTCTCTGCTTTCAACCAATGTTTCTCATCGTACAGTCTAAACTGTTGCTGCAACTATCAATCGACATTTTCTCTCCCTAAGCCCGCTTCCTTAGGCGGCGACAGACTGGTCGATAATACTACTTACCACCTGGGAAAGGACGGCAAAAGACAAGGACCCATTCAGCCGAGTTTGTTGGTTCGCGCTACGAATTATTCTTTTAGATCTCCCAGATTTGCCCACGCTGCAAAAATTGTACGATGCATCTCCCGGTGTCGCAGCGTTCCTTCGCAAAAATGACTATCTATTTGCCGTGGTTCTAGACGATACCATCGGAGACCCAGCTCGCGAAAGAGGCCTACTGCCTCATGTTCAGGATGCAGCAGGCTCTTGATTCTTGCCTGGACCTGAACGGCCAATTCACATCCTCAGCACGTGAATGCCAAAGCTGCAGAGCCACTGGAGGAGCCATACACAGACATTCTAAGCATCCCGTGATACGTTAGGGAGCGGGTTCCCCAGGAACAGCCCAATTGAGAAGACAATATCCTGGTCCACGTCGTCGGCCATTCTTTGTCGGCTCCTTGCCTTAATGACCCGCTTGCAATGCATCGCGCATGCCTGCTTTCATTCAAATGATTGCTAGGTTCCTGAAGTTGCGGGTGGAGCATTTGCCCGAGAAGACTATATACATCAATAGGGCGAGTGTAGTTGACCGTAGTCAACGCCCTCAGGGAATTCCTTATAATCCCATTGATATCGGACCACCAACGTACTTTGCGGTCGTTATACATCGATGACGGATGAACAATAGGATAAGGTAGAATGGCTATTACTCGTGGCGATTCTACCAGAGGCTCACAGTGTATATATGTGTGCAGCACGCACAATTTATCCCCTCTCAGATACGTACGTTACTCTGCCTTTCGCGAGCCGAATGTTTTTCGCCTGGTCTTGGATACTCTCAGAAAGTGATTGGGAGGAAATGTTAAGACTGCAGGCCGTGACTCCACGGTATGACGAAGCAGACTTTGATATATATGATCCATGGTTAGCTAGGGGTGTCGCTGTATCAATTCCCGCGCATGAAACATAGGACGATTCCTATGTCTTCAGAAGTCAAATCGCTAACATGATATACGCCACACTGGAGTATCGCCATGGGTGTGACGATCGATCCCAATGAAGACAACAGAGCGAATGGATAGACGCAAGTAAAGTCAAGATGCAATCCCAGACCCATCCCAGTCACTGAGTCCTTTATTTTGATTGCGGCACGGAGAGATGACGGAATCGCAGACGGAAATGAGGAGTCGATTTTGTCACCAAAGGCAGTTATCGATAAGCACCAACCCCACACCAGCTATCTTACTTTTTCTCTCCAAGACTTCTCCAATTTTCTCAGATCAGAACTACACCTACACAATCGACGAATTTTGTAAAAATAGACCCGACAGGTCACTACATCCTCCATCATGGTGCGTCACTATCCCATTCGCTCGATATCCTCCCCACACCACCCACTTCAGGCATGCGCTGACCACAACCACAACCACAATCCAGCCTCACGCCGACTCCTCCTACTTCTCAACTTCCCAAGAACCCACTAAGTCGGAGGTATACGCGCAAGTCCTCGAACAAGCCAAAGGCCTAGTAACAGGCCAGCGCAATTGGGTAAGCATCCCCCCCCTGCTGCCTCACCTCCACAAGTTACCCAGCTCGCTAACACAACTCACAACTACAGGTCAGGTATTCACCCTAGTCCCGTACCAACCCAAACACACAGGATCTTGGTCTGCTAACAAACACAGCAACTTCTCCAACGTCGCCTCCCTCCTCTGGCACGCCTACGCCGCCCTCCCGTCCCCCTCGTCCTCCGTAAACTGGGCAGGCTTCTACATCCGCCAGGATAAATTCCCCGCGCTCGGCTCTTCCCAGAATACACCAAGCAGCACCACCAATGTCCTGCTGCTGGGACCATTCCAGGGCCGCCCCGCCTGCCAGGAGATCCGCTTCGGGCGCGGCGTGTGTGGTACCGCGGCGGAGAAACGCGAGACGGTGATTGTGCCAGACGTGTTGAGTTTCCCGGGCCATATCGCCTGCGACGCGAGCAGTCGGAGTGAGATTGTGGTGCCGATTTTGGCTGGTGGAGAGGTGAGTTTGTTGACTCCGATGGAGGGTTGAGGTGTGCTGTGTTGTGTTGTGCTGTGTTGCTGATCGGAGGCGTGTAGACGGTTGCGATCATCGATGTTGATTGTACGGAGCCGGCTGGGTTCGATGAGGAGGATAAGAAGTGGCTGGAGGAGCTTGCTTCGCTCTTGTCTGAGTGTTGTGATTGGTAAGTGTGCGTATATACGTGGTTTGATGTTTGGCTGGGCTTTGCTTCACAAGTTGAGGCGTGTCTTTTCTTGAGAATATTCTCTACTTCGAACTATGGTTTGGAATTTGGTTTGCGCATGGCATTCATCTGAGTGTATGAAGAGTTATAGTTTGAATAGATCATTGAGGTAGGTCTATTTGTTCAATATTTCAACTGTACCATAGCAAGTTTCCGCTCATTGAGCAAAAAGGGGAAGAGAGTCCTCAGATCAAGTGAGTTCTGCAAAAGCAAGGTGGTAACGAAGTATCCTAAGCACACCTCTGTGTCTTGACAAAGATAGTCTATGACTGTATAAGCATAACCCTGAAATTCTATCCCATCGTTCTTCGAGCAAAGTGAATGTCCCATATCCGTTGGATAAACGTATATAACCAACGCCAGTCCCATAGTGGATCCGCAGTGTCTTGCGGAGAGCATGCAGTAAAGTGTAACGCAATACACGAGTAAAATGGAAGTGAGAAAATATACAAAAGGCAAGCGCAGCCAGCTACATATTGAGCAGGCTCATCTGTCGCTTCATCGGACTGGTAGTCCCCGAGTCACCGTCCTCGCTGGGCCCGATACCGCTGTCGGTGCCAACCAGACCGGCATCGGTATCAATGTCCCATTCCTCCTCTTCCTCGTCTGCGTATATGTCATCGGAGCCATCGCGATTCCAGCTTTTCTGGACCGCTCCGCGCGTGTTCCAACGCAGTGCTCGTTGAATACTTTCAAACCATTCCCCGCTACCGGAGACCACAGTAGGAAAGGGGTACTGGCTGGCTTCAACGGTCACATAGTCCCCTTGGCGGAGTTCAACGCGTCCCTTGCCATCAAATGAACAGTAGGCACTGGAGCGCGACCCCGTCGGAACGGCGATACGGAGCAACAGCGAGTCTGACAGTACCATTGGACGGAAAGACAGAGTATGGGGGCAGATAGGAGTAAGAAGAATGCCAGGAATAGAAGGATGAATAAGAGAGCCGCCTGCGGACAGAGAGTACGCCGTAGATCCTAAAATAACCAACCATTAGCCAATGGGTAAACCATTTGAACCGAGTTCAGAGCACTTACCTGTTGGCGTGGAGAAGATACAGCCGTCCGCCTGGACCACAGTCAAGAGATCATTGTCGGCGTACAACTCAAGATTTGACACATAAGGCGACGGCCCCCGATCTATAACCAACTCATTTAAAACCTCGAATTGCTCTCCTTCTTCGACTGCACCTGCTTCTGCCCCTTTGCTTCGGTCCTTGCGGAAGACCGTGCAGGTAAACCGCATCCTCAGGTTGACGCGCATGCCGACGTCTCCCATGACATCATTCAAATGTGATTTGTAATTCTCAAACTCGAAATTCGTCAGAAAGCCCAGGCTTCCGAGTGAGAAGCAGAGCACCGGCGGAACAATCCGCTGGAAAAGCCACGAGGTGAATAGAACCGTGCCATCTCCGCCTAACGTAAGGACAAGATCAAATTTCTCCGGAGCGGCCCAACAGAGATCCGGAGTCCAGTAATGCAACATCTGCTCAAATCGCGGTTCCGATTGCAGCAGTCCCGCTGCATCAAATCGTTTGGAATTCCGTAGCTTGGAATCGACCCATACATTAACCCCCAGGTCGCTCCCATATCGCGGGGTCGAGAGAAGCCACTCGGCTAGCTCTCGCGTCAGGTGCACCAGACGGTTATCGCGCGCCTTTGTCACAATCATCACATTTTTCACTGCCCGTTTGATCGGCCGCCTTTGAAGCTGCTTCGATACCTCCCGCACTCCGGTTGCAGTTTGTACCAGCCGCGAATGAGACAACCACTCATCGTCGGCGATTTCCTCCAGCACCTTCTGAATGTTGACGGCATCGTCAAACCGTCGATGGAAAAAGCATGGCGATTGCAGTACCAGCTGCGCCGTGGAGGGCGACCTTTCCAGGTATTTGCCTAGCTGTAGGTTCGAAAGAGCCGCGGAAAGCTTCTGTGACGATGAGTTGCTGGACCGTTGATGCTCTGTCTCCGCTGAAGAACTCGAGTTGGGGCTTGTGGCTAATAATCCTAAAGATGCCGCCAGCGGCGCATTGGAATTTGGATTGGTACACAGCGACGGTCGCGATGCGAGGGCCTTCATGATCGTCTGTCGGGGTATAAGGTCGCTTGACGACGCGTTTTTGCGGTGCTGCGAACCCAGGGGACCCGCACTGCGGAAAGAGAGGAAAGGGGATGAAGGTAACGAGGCGACGGGCGGCGCTTCTCCCTGGTGAAGCTCAAGCTTCTGCGGGACGTTGGCCCTACTGTTGGACAGTCCGGAGGTGGGTTGGTTCACATGAAGATCATTTGTCGTCTGAGAAGGATCTATATGACTGGCATAGTCCCGAAGGAGCGATGCACCGACAGTTGTGGACGTCAAGGGACAAGAGTCTGGAGAAGTTGGACCTGATAGTGGGGCTGCGGAGGAGAGCGGTGGTGATGAGGATGACGAGAGAGCGGAGGATTCAGAGGGAAGGGAGTCGGATTGGGGTTTTAGGGGGCCATGGCTTGAAGAAGAGGAAGCCATGAGGATGACAAAGGCCGCAAATGAGTAGCAGAGGTGTAGGGCTGACTGCCTTTGGGAGGGGGGATTTGTGATTATTCCATTGACTTCGGGTGTTGTGTCTCTTTGGCGTAAGACGGAATTATTGTTATTTCCAGCGGAAGGTGGACAAAAAGGGAAGAATGACCAACATGGACGGGGGAAATGGACCGACTACTAGGTACTAGTCCAGTACTGGAGGAGGCGGAGCAGCCGCGGCAGCCGTGTTCGGATGTAACGGGGTTTTGGCGGCGGATTACAGCCATCCTCCTCAGCCAGGGTTCGCGAGTAAGAATCTCCGGCAATTAATGGCAGTCCAGTCAACACTTCGATCTGCTTCCATGGTCAGGCGTCCGTAATCTTTCATCATCATTTCAGGACGATCACTAATCATCACAAAAGCATAATGTTTTGCATTACCAGAACAAGGTGAAGCAGCATTCTTTCTCATGGAATGCATATCGTCATCTTGGTGCTACTTTACTGTTATGATAAGAATGGCTTTTCTTTAACATAATGGCTCTGGTCCCAGGAGTGGGAGGAGATAGTCATCTAGCGGACGCGGAAGCCTGAGGGGGAGAGGGATCGTGGCAATACGGTCAAGTCACCACGGATTCATTCCTAATCGCCAGTTTGCTGGACGTGCTGTGAAAATCATATAGAATTTGAGTTTATAGCTGGCTAATTCAGTCCGGTATTCTGCACGTTGGAGGGGTTGTTTCCTCCTGTTGGTGATCCATATTTAGAAATTCACTGTCAAAACGGATATCCCCCAGGAATGGCCAAAGATCGTCTAGCAGAAGTCGACAGCGTACAGCACATCAGGGCCAGACACTTTAGAGCCGGAGACTAGATTAGTGTGTCGTGCGGTATGGGCTCGTGGAAGAATCCGTCAAATATGGTGACGCCTGGAGAGCAAAACGCCTGTGCGCACCAATGGAAGGGCTCCAGGATGTGCCTTGCAATAGTGCGGACGCCAAAATGCGCTCTGGTCATGCCAAAAGAGCGAATCTGACGTTGCCGAATGCGCGGGAAGCCATGGCTTGAAGGAGCATCCCGAAATAGCACCTATGTGCTACCAGTATGTTCATGCAGCTGTGATCACTTTGGCCCCAGCATCACGCCGCATCAATCTTCCAAGCATAATTCTGGTAGACCTTGTCCTCAATAGTCTCCCGCATAAATTTATTCAAACTTCGTTCACCTCTCTCTTCCTCCATATTGACATCGCCATCGGCGCTACCAGCCAATGTCCCGCCACAGATTGTGGAGGCATGCTGATGAACTCTTTCCCAGGTAGCGAAGTCGAATGTTCCCTGGCTCTCATTCAGAAGTAAGTGGCCCTTGCTGGAGAATGCCAGAACGTGAAGAGATTTCGCGGTTGCCGCTTGGCTAACAGAAGGCTGTCGGATAATATCTCCTGATAATGTGACTGCCAGGATGGATGCAGTAAAGGTCATTGACAGGGGAACAGAAGCCGATATTAGAGCCAGAAGAGAAGCATGGAGAAGAGCAGGAAGGAGAGTCAGATACTGGAGAGTACAGGCCAAAGTCAGCGATGCCCACTTTCGCCTAAGTTTAACATTTCACCACCATTGAAATAAACACTCACCGAATCTCCCCGACAGATGTTTTGACCACCCACTATCGCCAATGTAAGGACAACGCCTCGACGAGGATATCCCTTCTCTCGTCCCAGAATCAACCTCCCCAGCATAGTCTTCAGGATGCCCTCGACATATCTTTCACCAACCCCACCAGGAGTGGTGCCAGGCTTCACAAAAACTTCGATAGTCGCCTCTTCAGGCTTCAATGCATCACGGCGGCCAGGCAGCTCGACAGGAGCATTTACGGAACCTAGGACGTCGAACCCGCTCGAAGGACATTTGTAGGAGGCCGACCCGTCGGCGCGGGTAAGAGGTGTAAGGGAGGCGGTCGGTCCAACCATTGTAGCTTGCGATGATTGCCGGTCGGAAACAAGCTGGACGACTAAATAAAGGCCAGAAAAGAGCTCCAAGACCCCTGGGAAAGCGGACAATTGACGGGGAGTTTGGCGTCAGAGAACGAGCTGCTGGAGAGAGTGAGAAAGCGTCCTTCCGCCTGGAAATTTTTGGCTGCAAGGTTGGACAATGCGGGCTGTTTCCCGATTGGCTGATCTGCGTGCTTCAATGGCCCGCTCCCCACCAGGTGATTAGGTATGGCACCCACGCATGGCAGGGAACAACACACACACAGTACGTCTAAAAGCACCTGTACCATCTTGTTCTGTGCAGTCATATTCCAGCTATATTCCTTTTTTACTACATGATTCAGGCAGTAACAGAGACTGACTGGGCCCAAGAATTCCGCCGTATCCGCCACCTCTGGACTCAAGAGGACACAGGATACTGGCGACGTAGTTATTTTACCTACTGAAGCAGAATAGC